GTGGAGTTACTCGTGCTGTTCATTTGGACATAGTCACAGATAAGTCTTCTCTTACTTTCCTCAGATGTTTCAAACGATTTGTGTCTCGAAGAGGTCTTCCCTCACTTATAGTCTCAGATAACGGAACTACTTGTAAATCTGCTGCGAAAGTCATTCGATCTATTCTGAGTCATCCTGAGGTCCAACGGTATTTCTCAAATGTGAATTTGAAATGGAGCTTCAATATTGAGCGTGCCCCATGGTGGGGTGGCTTTTTCGAAAGAATGGTGCAGCTCCTCAAGCGTTGCTTACGTAAGATGGTGGGACAGTCCAAGCTGACTTATGATGAGCTACTGACTAGTGTAACGGAAGTGGAGATGATATTAAATTCCCGTCCTCTTACTTATATTACAGCCTCTGATATGGATGAGCCCATAACTCCTTCTCATTTGATTCTGGGAAAGAGACTGATGTCTCTACCTGATTACTTATCCTTGCCTGATTCTGAAGAGTTTAGCCCAGATTCATCTCGACCTACTATAACAAGGCGTTTGAAGTATTTGAGTACTATTCTGAAGCAAGGGATAAAGTCGTTGCTAGTCTTTTGGACTAGTCTCATTGTAAGCAGAGATTGAGATTGAAATTATTATTGATTTATGTTTTCTTTTGTTTGTTATTATTGTTTTCTTGTTTTATTTGATTATTTGTGATATTGAATAGTATTCTACTATTCAATGGGGGGTGTGTGTGAGGATTTATGTGTGATTTATATTCATTGTGCTTATTGATTGTCAGTTATTATTAATTATTAGTTCATTATTATTCATGAATGTATTTTGTATATAACAGAGTAATTTTTGTGAGCCATTTTGTGTGTGTGTGTGTGTGCAGTGTGTAGAAGTGTGTGAGCGTAGTCTGAGTGCTATTGAGTCGTTGGGAGATAGTGTGGCACTATCTATCTTTATTTGATATTATTGTTTGAACCAGTAAAGCTGGTATATTATTTGAAAAGAGATTCTGTTGAAATATATTTTGTGAAATTGATAGCGAGCCCTGCATTGGCGAGCTAACTAGTGAATCCTGAGCTGAGCTGACTACTAAGGAAGCAACTATATAGACGGGCTGGACGGCATCCCCGAATCCATAGAGAAGACGCCGTGACAGGGGGTGTGTTTGTTGCATTTGTGTCATTACAGGTCAACAGACATTCATCTTCATCTTTATTTATAGGAGAAATATCAGGTTGAGGCTGTAGTGATTGACCATGGTTACTTTGTACTGTTTCTTCAGCTGGATGATAACGTTCAGGTGGAGTGGTATCTGCTATAGTGGATGATTCCATTATCTTTGATTTCACCTGTTCTGTGGGATTCCTTCTTCCTGGTAGCCGAAGGTAATTCTCCATGCTTATTTGTTTATCCCGTCTTTTATCCTTCTTGACACAGGATTTGAAGTGTTTTACCCAATTGCAAACCACCCTCTCTCCTGTGGGCTTTTTTGTGACCTTGATAGCCTGTCCACATCTGCAAATGATGGAAGCGTCAAACATGTCTGAGTTTGTGATGGATCTGTTCACTTTTACAGTGAAGTCGACACCTTCTTCAATACGAACGTGGCCTGCTTCTTTCTGATCTCGACTCCATTTTAGAACTTTTTTCTTAATATCATTGGTAACTAAAGATACGTCTTCCTTGTCATTTGATAAGTATTTGCCCTTTTTTGAAGGAGGTGGCTTTGTAGCAGCATCATTTGATGTAGCATCGGTTTCGGATGTCATTGACAGTTTTTTGACGTATTTTAATATTCTGATTCGATATCCCGGAGGAAACCTGAAGGTAGAGCTATATGATGCTGGCTTTTCTGATCTCATGCACTCTGATAGTGCTTCCTTATGCTCATCAATGTAGTCTTCAATTTGACTAATCGTTTCATCATTAATTTCAGAAATAACATCAATTGTATCGTAACCAGCTTCCATGAAGCAATTGACTATGTATTGAGGTAAGTACTCTTTCATGTGCTCATGTATATCAGTGATGTCTGACCTATAAGTGAGAATTAAATTAAGTCATGTGCATAAATACATTTATGTAGCAATTGTTTTAATCTTAATCTGAACAATAACAGAATTGGTACATGTACATGTACATGTAATTAACATATTCACACATTCACACAATTACTAATTAATCATAAACTATAATTTTTAATTTCTTTTATTGGTTATGTCTATGTATGTATGTATGTGATATAAAAAGACTCCCCAAACACTCAATCTTATCTTTATTATTTATGATACTCACTCTCCCTCATTCTCTCAATCTTTATTTTCATTCAATATTGTGAGTGTTTATTCAAGTTGTTCATAGTCTAATTACATGTACACATATTTGAATTGCATGTGTACCTGTTTTGAGCCATGATAATGAACTTTTGAAAGAGTATGGTAAAGGTTGAACAGAAGACGAGAGATAGAGAGGAAGGAATAGAGAGAAGGGGTACTGACAATGAAGAATCCTGTTTTATTACATACATGTATCATAGTTAGATTCATAATTATGAATAATTCTACCTTATAATAGTTATGTGGCTGTTTATAGCACTCTGATGCAGCAGTTTTAGCACTTATTATTGAACCTGTGAAGTCCACCACGTGGTTAGAAGTATGGGAAGTCAGGGAAGGTAACTATATGCACATATACATAGTTTCAACATTAGTAACTAAGTTCCAATACCTTGAAATTCTATCAGTTTTATAGCCAGATAGATTTTAAAAGCAAAATAGATACTATTTGCAATAAGATACAGTGTAAGGAGTAGTCTGAGAGGATAATGTGTCATTATTGTACATGTGACCCTTTAGTATACCTTTTAAACTGAGGTTGAACACAAGGTGGATGTACTGATAGCAGCTGTGATTAATAGTGGCAACCGCACTGCAGTTAACTGAATTAAGCAAATAAATTCAGTCAAGAGAATAGTCCAATACAGTTTGCTATTGAAAATATTGGTAATGCAGAGATACAAATGTTTTACATGCAGTTTTATGCACCTTCTAGTTGTCAGTACTGAACTTGAAGTATTATGTATACAGCACTTGAGTCCTCAAAGAAACACTGAACTTGCCAGTATAGCAGCTCAGTTGAAGAGAGACAGTAGGCCTTGCACAGCAGATAAAACTTTCCGAGGGACCAAGGCAATGATAAAGAAGTTAGAACAAGAAAACAGCAGCCAGCTATACCAGCTCTAAAGTCACAGTATATTGTTTAATGTTTATTAACTAATTTTAATAACCATTATTAACATCAATTTAATAACCATAATTACAATAATAGTTATTAATAGTTCAGACTAGTATATCTCCGGATATTATAATTTTTAGAGAAGATTACTGGATTATTATGAAGATTACTGGATTATTTTGGATTCCTACAGGATTATAAAGATTTCATAAGATTACCAGATTCCACAGGGATTACTAGGATTACATGCCAGCTTCTACGAGATTACTAGGTCGTTGCGGGCCCCTCGGAGCCATGTGCCACTGTTACTGTGTGTGCGGGTGGAGCATGGCTTTGATTGAGCCACACCTTCATTGCAGCCACACCTTTACATTGCTGCAGCAGTGCAGCAAGCATGCTGGAGCTTCTTCTCTGTCTAAAAAAACAAAAATTCACCGTTTCAAAACATTAATTAAGTTTTTACATGCTGAAGCTTCTTTTCTGTCTCAAAACATTCACTAATTATTTTTCTCTTAATTTATTAAAATTGTTACACACAGACTGTGGCGAGGGTATGCACTTTAGTGCTCTCATTCATTCATTCTGTACAAGCGAATTTTGTCTTTAATGAACTATAACTTTAGCATAGCGTGTTCTAAGCTCCTAGATCTTTCTTTTTTGCCTGGAAAAGTCTTGCTTAACTGTTTTGTGTTGCTCAAATATCAGCGCTAGGTACAAAAAGCTTCAAAGTGAGAAAATTAAGTATTTGAGTCAGGTTCCGTTGTGTTGGCACTCTGGAGATAGCTAGTAGCATTTTCCAGTAGATTAGAACATGGCCTTTAAAAGATATGAACACATTTCTCTAAATCTTACTTGGTAAAGAGTTACAGTTGTCCTGGTTCTTGTTTGTGAAGCACTGGAGCGACAACCTACTCGGCTATAGGTACTAAAGTACCTATACTATCTCAAATACATGAAGGCAACAACTTTCTGTCAGCAAGTTTATCGTATATTGCTGATTAATAAAGAAAAAGTTAAGCTTCTTTCTCACATGGTCTTCTTGCTGCCATCATTGCAGTTGATGATGTAATGCCACACCTTCAATCTACAGGCATGGGAGGGGCTGGAGCTGCTTGCATGTATGTGCTGCAGTGCTGCTACTTCTGCAGGTATTCAAGAGCAAGTGCATGCAACTGCAGGAAGCTAGTGTTGAGCAGACTCTCTTCATGCTGATAATCAAACAGCTATTGCAGTGTGGGCATGCACCATAGCAGCTATAGGGGCGAGGCCATGCACCGTAGGTGTCTCGTTTTCAATGTTCTACATGTACAATGTACATATTATCTTTTACTAGTTATTATTTCTTAATTCTTCTTCACGTATTAAAGGTATCTTTCTCTCCCTCTTTCTCTCAATAATTTTTAAGTGTCCATGTTCTTTTATGTGTCCTATATGTTCTCAGTGTTCTCTCACGAGTATATACATAATGTATTGTGTTATCAGTATTATTGATGTATGTGTCTCATTTATCATTTATTGTAGGTACTCCAACTAACAGTAAACTGACATACCTCCCAATGGTCATTGTAATGGTCTCAAGGATGCCTTACTTTAGACTCTTGAAGGAAGCACTATCTGCGTAAGAGATTATAGTACATGTATTATACAAAAACCACTTTTGTATGATTCTGTGCTTGCTCAATGATGCATGGCTCCAGAATGTCAGTATAACAACTATCAATTTTAATATTTGGCAAATCCATTAGCTCCTCCCAATGCTTCCCATTACACTATACAATACATGTACATGTACAATTACTGCATGTACTGTACATGTGCAAATGTACTTGCATAAGATTTTATAAACTACATGTATTATTTATAATGATAATGTGGTTCTTATTGTAGTATGTATAGACTGTTGTCTGAAGAGGAGAGGGAGGACTCATATTGGGAGACCATTGAAGACGTGGCCAATAAACTGTTCCTTATACGTTGTCTACCTGAAGGACTCCTCTCATTAGTAAGGGAGAGAGAAGGAGGGAGGGAGAAGGAGGGGGAGAGAGAGAGGGAGGGGGGAGAGAGGGGAGGGAGGGAGAGAAAAGGGGGGAAGGGGGAAGGAGAAAGGAGAGATGGGAGGGAGGGAGTGAGGGAGAGGGAGAGAGAGAGGGAGGTGAATGAGAGGGAGAGAGAGGAAGAATAAAGAAGGAATGAGGGAGAAAGAGTGAAATAGAAGAAGTTATGTATTCATTGTTCTACTAGGAAGTAACTCTACCTGGTTTTTCATCACCAACAATCATTATGCCACCCAGAGGAGGTTAGTATATGTACATTCAGTTTCAGTTTTCTCTCTGTCTCTGTCTCTCTCTCTCACTCTCTCCCTTCAGACCTTCATCTTGATGTCAGATTAAACTATCCATTCTTATGTCTTTTTGTTGATAATGTTCTCGAGGTTATTTTTATTATTTTTTTAATGCCAGTATCAGTTATACAAGTAAGAGAAGAGAATATACTATTGTACATGTAATATATGTACTTGTAGTATGGTGTGTGGGCAGATCAAAGGCGCCGCCAGTGCTACAACTTCCAATAACCGCATGGTAGGAAAATGTAGCACTGTGTGGAATATATAGTACTGCACAATATGATATGTATGGGCTTTCCTGATAACCACAAGCTTTGATAGAGGCAAATAACAGCCTCAGCTACATACACTAGACATGTAACAATAATAATTGTGATAAATGAGATCTGATCATCTGGCACTGGCGACCTGTGCGACTTTTGAAGTTTCATTTGATCCGCCCATGCACCACTACAAACCAATCAAAGCACTGTTGATTTGTAGATTACAGAAATTATTGCACTCGGGACGGTCTCGACGAAAATGTAGCAGTCGGCTTCGCCTCGTGCTACATTTTCCTCTCAACCACCCCTCGTGCAATAATTTCCGTAACCTACTCTCAACAGTGCTTTAACTAATACATGTACATGCATGTTTTTTAAATTTTTTTAATTACACGTATGTCTCTTATTTATGTGTACATGTACATTGTACATGCATGTATACATGTACATATTGATGCATAT